AGTAGCATTGCAGCAGCAGCAGCAGCAGCAGCAGCAGCAGCAGCAGCAGTAGTAACAGCAGTGTGGCAGCAGCAGCAGCAGCAGCAGCAGTAGCAGCAACAATGGCGGGAGCAGCAGCAGTAGCAGCAGCAGTAGTGGCAGCAGTAGACGTAGTAGTAGTAGTAGCAGTAGTAGCAGTAGTAGCGCTAGCACCGTTCTTCCATGCAAGCTCGCCGCGACAGCGACAAGAAGACCAGAAGAGGCCATGTCACCATCACTTCCATCACCGCCACCACCAACACCATCAACATCACAGCATCACCAACAGCACCGACACGGTCATCAATGCAAACATCACCATCCAGGACCGTTGTAAACCACGACCACCAACAAGATCATGGCAACTACGCGCGTTATCACCGTCAGCCCCATCACATGATCATCATCATCATCATCATCATATTCATATTCATCGTCTTCAATTCCTCTTCATTTTCATTAACATCATCATCACATCATGATCATCGCTTTCAATAGCCGCGTCACAAAAACGACTCAAACACCATTGCCAATAGTGTTATCGTTGCGTCTTCATCACCCGTCTGTTGAATCAGTACCACTGCAATCAGAATCACCATGAACTTGCCATGAAACCCATACTGTGAAGGAAGTATCGTGGTGCTTCATAGCCCCAGGATTGAGGGTTGCTCCTTCCAAGCCCAAAACTGTTTGAGAGTTGGACTTCAGGGTTTTGGTAAGTTGAGTACGCCGAAGAGCTGCCACGAACGTGCGGTTTCGCCATAGACCCGCCTCCACGGCAGGGGACAGTTGAGCGGAAACGTGAACAAACGAGGTTAGAAACATCCGCTCTCTCTTGCTCTCTCTGTCTCTCTCTCTCTCTCTGTCCCTGACCGTCTCACCCACACGGACTCGAGTCGAGCACGCAGAAACACCTTGCAAAACAAATATCAGAACCCCAGCCTAAACACTAACGTCTTGAGTGCCCTCCCAGAACTTACAGGCCAGTCGCATGAGACGATAATACGACAGGCGCCTAGAGAAAAAAACACATGATCGAGGTTCCTTTAAATGTTTAGTATGAGGGCTTTCATAATTGGAATAGAGTGGAGTAGATTTAAACCATCAGGATTGCTATCAGGGCTTCCTTCAGGAGCGCTAATATTTAGAGTGATAGCCTAATGGACACCTCTAGCACCCAAAGCCAAGCCGAAAACCCAGCTGGAGCCGTTCGAGCAGACCAGAATGAGTCAAGAGAACTCTCGGGTTTAGGGCAAAGCTCTGGGTTTAGGGTTTTTGCCTAGTTTAGAATCATATGGGAACTAGGGGATGGTATAGCACCCAAAAAAGGATTACTATGAGGGAAAAACGGGACTATAATATAAGGGAAGATGATTGCGAATTGTCCGCACCTCGGCCTCTGAGCTTTCAGGCAAAGCTCGGCCCTTGCACCGGCGGACGGCACGGCGCATTCCTCCAAGCCGCCCCTCGGCTTTAGGATTTAAGGGTGTTTATAGGAGCTTCGGGTTTAGGGTTTAGGGTTTAGGGCTTAGGAGCTTCGGGTTTAGGGTTTAGGGCTTAGGGTTTAGGAGATTCGGGTTTAGGGCCTAGGGTCCTGCCTAGCAGAGGCATACCTCAAGGAGGTCTGGAACTGCTGCTTCAAAGCCCGAACCTTGAAGTCGAACCTCGGCATGACCGGTAACCCCACGACAGAGGGTCTCTGTCGTCTCTACGACTCTACGGCCGCACCGTGGCGGTGATGAGTCTGAGTCTTGACTCCATGATCCTGAAATCAGGCTTCGGCTTGCGCACCTCCGCGAAGGCATGCCGGTAGGGAGGCTGCAGCTTGCCATGGGCAAGGCTTGGCCAGAGATGTCCCCGCAAACTGGTTTCCTTCGAGACTTTTCTGAAAGAAACCGCATGGCCTGGGACTGGTGGATCGGGGGTTCTTGTGCTTGATGCTTCATGTGCCTTCAACAAGGCTTTTGGGTTTAGGGGCAAGGGTGTTGCATGTACAGGGTTCACAGCTGTTTAAGGCTTTGGCTTTCAACTTTGGGAAGTCGCAAACTCCGCGTTTTCGGGCTTAGGACACAAAGTTTAGCTTAAAGTTTGGTTGCCTTGCAAGGCTTTCTTTTGGAGGCTTCTGCCTGGCGCTTGGTCTGAGATGTTGAGGTCGTTCGTCTGAAGTGCAATCCTCGGGGGGTCTGAGAAGGGTCAAGTTGCGCCGGTCGAAGCCCTCAACCAAGCCCTGTAAATAAAAACCCAACTTGGCAACTCTAATCTATCCCTTCACCCCTGAATCTCCCGGTGTCGGGTTCAGGGCATGAGATTTTCAAACCTTTGCGTCCCAACTCGAATCGAAAGCTTGTGGGCTTTCGGCTTTAGAGCGCTACAGGTGGGCCGGTGGCCCGGGGAGCTTGACACGCTCCTCAAGCAGAGAGGCCGAGACAGAGAGAGAGAGAGAGAGAGAGAGCAGATGTATAAGTAGCAGTGTAGATGGGCATACGGAAAGCCAGGTAGGTGCATAGATAGGCAGGTAGCAACGATAGGTGGATGAATAGGGATAGATGGTTAGATACTCGAGAGAGAAGAGAGAGAAAGAGCGAGAGACAGAGTTAGAGGTGGCCAGGGACCAATGCAACGTAGGGAGATGTATTGTTACATACATACATACGTACGTACGCACGCACGCACGTACATACATACATACATACATACATACATGCACATACATGCCTACAATGTGAATGCCGTCGCCTATTGCTAGGAGGTTGGTTTGGGCGCTTCTGCTTCATTTACAAGGCATCCTGCAAGCAGTTAAGACATGATAAGATCGATGGATTCTGGAGTGACGTAAATACTGTCTCTCTCCCTCTCTCTCTCTCTTTCTTTCGCCAGGGCTGTGGGCAGGAGTAGTACTCTCTCTCTCTCTCTCTGAAGCCCCCTGGCCACCAGGCCCCCTAGTTTTTTTGGTGGCCTTATCTCTCTTCACTTCACTTCAGCTCCAGGGTCCAGGGAGCGAGAAAAGCTCCCCGCACCGAAAGGTGCACCCCTGTTGTAGGGCTTTCTAGGGTTTAGGGTTTAGGATTTCGGGTTATTTTTTCCCCTCTCGCATGGCTGAGGATCTATGCCCACAAGCGAGGTTGACTTGGTGATTTCAGGATTTAGACTCGCGACGTAGATCAAACTCTGGACTTGCCAAGCCCTATGTTAGGAACCTGCGACGTCAAGAGGCAGAGATCTCTACCTGCAAGCAATTGCAGACCTTTAGGGTTTAGGGCCGTTTAGGGTTTTAGGGGATGTGCTTATCTCCTCTCTGCCTGATGCACACAACAACCATACGAGTAGGTACCTATAAACGTCTCTGAAAGCGGCTACATGCTGCAAGACTGCTAGAGGCGTTTTCTGCCTTTGCGCAATGGCGGCGCGCCCTTTTTTCTCGCGCCGCTTGCGGCCCGAAACTCTCCGCCGGCTCCTGAGAGCTGCGTTTTGGCAGGATGGGACAGAAGATGCGAAGACAAAGACAGGCAGAGTCGTAAAGTATCTCCGATCGCACTCCTGATGGAGTTGATCGTACTGCTTGAGTCTATGCTTACGACTGCAGCTTGCACAAACACATTCAAGCACCCCGAAATTCGAAGGACAGCACCGCGAGAAACAAAGCCTGGCAATGGCTCTTTTTCACGGGATGTGTGTCGCCTGGTCGTGGGTCGTGGCATGGTGGAAACTCTGCTTCAGCGGATCTGGGACTGTCTTGGTGGGTTTAGGGTTTAGTAAATTTAGAGGCTCGCAGGGTCTGAGTCAAGAGCCTTTGCTGATGTACCACTCAAAGGCAGAATCCACAGGACCAGACTCCTCACACCTGCATGGTGCAAATCTCGCCTTCAGGGCTCGGGGGCATGGCCACAAACATGCTTACACCCCTCGTGTGTCTGCAAATTAATCTTTGACTTCCCACCAAACATGTCGTTACCTGGCCAGGACTGACTGAAACGAACCACACCTACTGCTCTGCCTACAATACCGTTTACCTGCTGAAGATGTGGAGTGTTGAATGGCTCATTCCCATCGCACCACCCCTTCGCGATGTCAGGCTGTAGGAGTGCAGTCAAATGCGTTCGGGTGTCCCCAGGCCTGTGTTAAGTTCCACGACGTCTGAAAGGACATCGCTGGCGATCTGGCGTGCTTTCGCCGATTTATTCTCCAGGTTCCTGCGGGAGCGAGTAGTTTCGACCCTCACACGCAGCGCTTGACGACTTTCAAGCACCAAACTGCTTTAGCGAAGAGGCCTCAACAGCAGTCTTCCAGTTTTCAACCTCGGTCACACAAGCGCACATCAACGGAACCAGCGAACTGTCTGCGTAAGTTTCCTTGCGCAACGTCTCATGTGGCGATTGTTTTTGCAAAGCTCCCTTCCGATGGCTCTCATTTGCGTACCCTCCCACTTCGTCGTCATGCAGCTGCTGGATCCTCGTGGCTCGCTTGAACCATGCCAAGTGACGAAACGAAGTCTTCGACCACTTTCTTCACCTTAGCATTATGGAAGGCCAATGGACCCACTGAACTCAAACAAACACACCTGTCCGATTCCTGCAGCCGAGCACAAACAGAATTTTGGCTACGCGGCTCACTTTGCCTGATGACATCATCAAAAGATTCCCAAAGTCGCTGTGTCCAGTGGCAACGGAAGCAACAAAATGGAGTTCTGCGGTCAAGACCGGACAGCAGAGGGCGAAACTTTCATCTAGACGCCAACATCTAAGACTCCTCACCCCTCAAATCTTCAAGCTGCCCATGGTTCCCGAATTCAAGAGGGTATGGCACCTCCAGTTTACTGTCGAACCGAACCCTGTAGCCAGATCCCTGAGAGCCCACCGCTTCCGAGACATCCGCACAATCGTAAAACCCTTGACACCGACTACCATTTCTGTATAAATCTGTTCCCTACTTACAATGTAGCTCTGCAACCAAACTTAGCCCAAGACCCGGGTGGCACAATCCACAAATGAAAGTTCCAGAAAACACGCCATATTCCTACTACTCCTAAATATCGCAGGATCTTCTCAATTACGAGTGCAGGCACCAGCTGCCCAAATATCTTAGGATTTTACCACAAGGATCACTGAATTAGGTACTTGAAACCCATGAAGGAACCCTCCTAGGAGCCTTTAACGGCCCGATCTCTTAGGGAGCCTTTAAGGGTTCCTATTTAAGGGTTCTTCAAGGGTACTACAAAGAGTACTTTAAGGGTGCCTTTAAGGGTTCCTATTAAGGGTTCCTGCTAGGGTTCCTTTAAGGGTTCCTTCAAGGGTTCCTTTGAGGGTTCCTCTGAGGGTTCCTCTAAGGGTTCCTTTAAAGGGCTCCCTTAAGGGTTCCTTTTAGTTTAGGGTTCCTTGAAGGGTTCCTATGAAGGGCTCCTTTAAGGGTTCCTTTGAAGGAACCCTTTAAAGGGTTCCTTTAAAGGTCCCTATTAAGAGTTCCTTTTAAGGTTCCTGAACCCTCGCGGTCCAAGCCCAAGTCACCAGCTCTCGCCGGCCGGCTTCCGAGGCGGCCGCTGCCCAAGCGGGTCCGGAGAGGAGCCTTGGGTCTCCGGTTTGGGGTCCAGGGGTTTAGGGTTTAGGGCCTAGGGCTTGGGGTATAGAGTTTAGGGTCTCCGGTTTGGGGTCTAGGGGTTTAGGGTTTAGGGCCGAGGGTTTGGGGTATAGAGTTTAGGGTTTAGGGTTTCCGGTTTGGAGTCTAGGGGTTTAGGGTTCAGGGGCTTTCGGTTTACGGGTTTGGGGTTTAGGGTTTGGGGTTTAGGGTTCAGGGTTCAGGGTATAGGGATGCATAGAGTATGGGGTTTAGGGTTGCCTTTGCGAGTTGGGGGGTAGGGTATAGAGATGTATAGAGTACAGGGCGAAGGCTTTGGGCTGGGTGCTGAGGGCTTACGGGGGGGTGAAGTTCAGGGTTTGGACTTTAGGGTTCAGTTGAGTTTTGGAATAACTGCTTGAGTTGAGATGCTTACATTCACAAGCTACAGGTTTGCTGTTTCTTTCGTTCAGGATCGGTGGAGGTGGGCTTTAGGTGTGCTTTTTAGACGTTCCTAATCTCGCTGATGCCGCAGGATCAACCAAGACTTCTTCGCGTGAATCAGGTGGGAACTCAGAAACGAAGGACTCGGAACTTGCACCAAAGTGACCTTAAACGTTAACGCGAACCCTCCGATGACGCAGCCCTGCATCAGCCCAATCACGCTGTGTTGTGTGCCAAGACCACCTGGCGGTTGCAGTGTCTAGGTTTCTACTTCGGGCTTCGAGGGCTTGATGGAGGGTTGAGGGTTTACACTCTCACAACTCATGTCAGGCGAGGTCTCACAGTGTTAGGTCGGCGTGATACAGCTTTACGACTGAGGGTTGAGGGTTTAGGGTTAAGGGCTCCGGGTTCAGCTGTGGTTTTTTTTGGGGGGGGAGTAGTCCGATGCCTCGTCCATGTGGAGTAAGTTTAGCTCCATGGCGTCGAACCCCAGGCCCTGCCGGCATTGGACAGTGACCTGGGTCCGGGAGCTGCCGGTCTCGGTCTTTGACAAGGTGGGGGTTTAGGGTTTAGGGTTTATGGTTTAGGGTTTAGGGTTTAGGGTTTAGGGTTTAGTGGGTTGGGGTTTAGGGTTTAGTGGGAGTTTGGGTGTAGGGTTGAAGGTTCTGGAAAGCGGGTGCTCCTTTTCCATTCTTGTTGCCTCCCACCTAGCTAGGACGAGCCGGCATGGCAGGGTACAATCTCAGGAACTGCGGAATGCTGAACAGCATTTTCTGCATAGGGTGTAGGGTTTAGGATTTCGGGATTCCGGTTCCGGGTTTCAAGCGTGGGAACTGTGCGAGCTGTAGGTGAGCTGCTTGGAGCTCGAAGTGAAACGCCTCATCGCAGCACACATTGCCGCTGTACCACTCCTTGCCGTCCACGAAAACGTTCATGAACACCTCAGTTTTTGGGGGGTCTCAGAGGTAAGAAGCTCTACATACAGCTCCACCCTCAATCGCAACGTCAGTCCTAAATCCTTGGGAAGCCCGGGTCGCATGGAGGTCAGCGAAAGCCGCCCGGATGTCAAGGTGCCATAGTTGGTTAGCCTCGCGGTTGAAGGCCCCGTCGAGTTGAGGCTTCAGGGCTGAAAGCATCGTTTTTGCAGGCAGTTTTCGAGGCTTTGGCACCCTAATTCCCACGATTCTCCCACCTGCCAGAGATCCGGTGGACGACGCAACCGGAGGGTCTCCAACTCCAAAGAGTTCGCACCCTGCGGGTAGAAGGCAAGCTGCGTTTCCCAAAACGATTAGGCTCAGGGTGCTGTGACATGAGAAGTTTGCGGTGGCAGTCCTCCGTCACGGCAGCTCAACACATAAAGCCCTGTCACTCATCGACTCTCGTGCTGAAACCCTGAAACCGCTCGTGTGCACTCTGGGGTGGGCCTTCGCCCAGAGGGCCTCGAGCTTCATGCGATGCCTCGGGCTCCCAATAGCTGACATAAACTTGGGCTCGTCATGCGCCCAAAGAACCCAATATCCATGGACCGCGGAATCCACCTTGAACTGTGAAGGATTCCTTCACCTGACTTGAGGCATACCCTGGCATTTCAGGAGTATTAGGCCAGGATCTTTGAGTATGACCCAAAGGCCTCGGCATTTTTTCACGAAGTGGCGCGGTCTCTTGAGGGAATCCCTGCTCTTGCTCTCCCTTTCGAAGCAGTCTTTTTGGATTGGGACACCTGAAACCTATGTCAGGCCCATCCCCGAAACTTCTGCGTCTTTGCCAAGCTGCTTGGAGGTTGCTGGGCCCACCTTGGCATCTAGAGTCTAGAGTTCGGAGCCTCCAACCTCAAAATCCCATGAAGGCTCCCCCCCAGGCAGGTACTTCTCAGGTCGAAAGGGCTTGGGGCACTCATCTTCACTCGGCTGCATCGCAACAGGTGCTCCTTGTGGCTTCCGGACTCAGGCGAGCTCTGGCGCGCCCCTTTCTGAAATCATTTCCCCTTGTTGCCGAGTTCTGCGTGCAGTTCAATGTCTCATGTCTCAAGTTACGGCCACACGTTTGTTCCTTTCCTTCCGGGTTGAGCATGCTCCTCCCTGTACCGTTGGCTTTTCGCTGCGCAATGCCTGGAAGCTGTAAAACCCCTGTCTGAGGCCACAAGCAAACTGAAACACGAGCCAAAGGAAAATGTTGTGGCCAGAACGCGGAGCTGGCAGCCTTAAGTCTTAAGACAAACCTAAACGAACAAATACGATACTAGCGATAATGACACAAGTGATGATGCTGACGACGCATTGGCTCGTCGTCGTCCTGGTGGTGGTGGTGGTGGTGGTGGTGGTTTCGTTTTCGTTTTACACGCCGCCAAGGAGATCCAGGCTGTGCGACAGGACGTGTGGTCAGGGATTTCCCCGGTCGCATAGCGACGCACATAGTGCACCGTCCCCAAAGACAGACATTATATGCCCCACCGCGGACGGCCAGTGAGCATACAATGGAGAAAGCGCGCTAAGAGAATCATAATCTCACTTGCACCGACGATCAACTGTACATCCTATGCCCTGTTGTCAAAAGAAGAGCGCGGCCCATGATCGCCAGTATGAGCTTCAACCGCCATCGTTCGCATCAAGTCAAGTAACAACCAGATCCACGCCATATGCCATCCCAGTGCGTGGCAGAAGAGTCCCAGGATAGTCCCAGGATATACATTAATGCCCCGAGGAAGCTGCAGCATCGGGGTGCAAAAGCAGCTGGAAGCCAAACCTGGCCAAAGTGTCTCGTTGATCATGTGTAAGAGCCGCCAGTCCCCGAGCATGGTGAGCTACCAAGATGGTTCGGTCTCCGTGTGACCACGGCAAAGTCGCGTGCGGAGTAGTCGGATTCAGAACCACACAGGGCCTCGTAATCTCTCTCAGAATTCCTGGCCCTGAGGTGGAGTCCAAATGGATGGACCCGCAAGGATCAGCAATCCAAAGGTTCCCCCCCCCGCCAAAAATCGCAGGGTATGATGACATTCTGAGTGTTCGGTGCATTCCGGCTGTCAGTGTGCTTAAAATGCATCACGTTGTGTAACAACGTACAAGTACTGAACTGATGCAAAGGAGCAGCCGCGCGCACCAAAGATGTCAGCCAGCACGATGTCCAGGGAAAGTTGAAAGTGTTGCATTGAATACCGTGGCATCCGCCTGCTGAGTAGGCCCCTACTGAAAAGCTGCGTTGAGGACGACCCGTATCGCCATCTGAAGTCGTGAGCTTGCGCCGTTTGGCCGAAGTTTGTAACGGCAACTGCTGACAGAGGTGGCGCAGATCATCAGTCGTGCAGCTTCGCCTGGAGCACACGAAGTAGGCAAGCCATTCCATCACAGGAGCGTCATGCTCTGGCGCCGGGGGCAAAATCATGTTGGTGGTGGTGGTGGTGGTGGCGGTGGCGGTGGCGTGGCGGCGGTGGTGGTGGTAAAGTAAAGATGGCGAAGCTGCTAAAGTTCACGGCATCGTCGGCCAATTACGATGCACCACGCATTGTCTCAACACGAACAAATCGAACAATCAGGAAGAGGAGCAGAAGCAGCAGCAGCGGCAGCAGCAGCAGTCATCGTTGAGAGTCTCAGGCTGCCACCTCTGTCTCGCGCTGCAGCAGTGGTGTGGTTCCAGAGCCTTGCTCGCCAGTGCAAGTCTCACAACTCAACTCACTACAAGCGCTTTGGCATGACTGGGGCTCACAGCTGAGCGCGCTTCTTCGAGCCGACTTTGGGTCGGAAGTGGAAAGATACCTCTCCAAGGAGCAGTCTGCGTATTTCGCCCACCGTGAGCTGGAAGAGACCTCACCTGGCAGCTTGGTGCGAAGCGGCTCTGGGATTGCCGTTCTTCCACGCTCGATGCTGCTTTTTGCAAAACTAGGAAGGCATCCCAGAGCAAGCCGCCTTCTTTCATGCGCAGGTCCCACAGCGCCGAGCAGTCACCTGGAGGGCATGGAAACTGGCATGGAAGCTCTCTGAGGCAGACTTTGTGACAAAGCTTCCAGCACAGCTATCAGCTATCGCTCCCAAAAGAAAAGCAGAGGGAACTCTCCAGCAGCACTCGGTCAAGTCTTCACGTCTTCACGGGAGTGGAACGCGAAGCTGACAAATCCCGCGGTGACAGTAGTGGCCTCTTTCTTCTGCACGGTCGCCCTGTGGGCAGTGGGCCTAGCAAGTCTCGCCGTCCGGCTTCGCCGGACGGCCGTAGTTCCAGCCGCCGACTGACGGTGGCTGGAGGGTTCCGTCGAGGTGCTAGATCCCGCACGCGCCGTAACTTGTACTAAGAAGAGCTTCTGTGGTTTAAAAGCTCTCGGAGCAAGTCCCCGAAAGCCCAAGGCATCTCCGAATCTAAGATGCCGCCTCGACCACGAAGGCAGGAAAAGGACACGGCCCCGTCAGCAGTGTCTGCACATTGATCCAGTCAGGCTGATCCTTTGGCAAGCTGATGCGCCAGTCACGGACCAAGCGGGCAATCGCCACAGAAAGCTCGAGGTCGGCTACACGACCTCCCAAACACATGCGAGCACCAAAGGAGAAGGGTGTAGCCAGCAGCTTATCATCGATCACCTCCGCTTCGGTTCCTTTGCGAGCCTCGACGGCCTCCGCCAGCCAGCGTTCTGGCTTGAATTCCGATGGATCCTCGACATACCTGGGGTCGTTCTGCAAGGAGAAGATGTTGAAGAACACCCTGGTGCCTTCCGGAACTTTGTAGCCATCGAGTTCCAGGTCGCAGGGAGCCGGTCGCACGACCATCGTAGCAGAGGCTGGAGTGATTCGGTGCGATTCCCGGATCACAGCCCTGAGATAGGGCAGCTTCGTCTTCATGTTTGCTGCGATCTCCTCGGTGAGGTCTCCCGAACCAAGCACTTCACGAAGCTCCTTCCTTAAGATCTCCTGCTTGTCCGGGTTCTGGGCAAGGTTCACGAGGTTCCAGCTGATTACGGACTGCGTCGTGTCGATGCCCGCCAGCAGGAGGCTCGCAGCTATTTCCTTGATGTGGTCCACTGGGATGCTGCCGCGATCAGTGATTCGCGCGATGTACGGCTTTGTGTCAGCGGGCATGTCCTTCGACATTTCCAGCGCCTCATCAAGCAGCCGGCACGAGTAGTCGTAGCTCTTTGTCATAGCCGCTTGAAAGTTCCGATTTACAGGATGATGGCGGAAGATTCCCATCTGAAGATGGCGGTTGAAGAGTGCATGTCCCATCAGCTTGAACATGTCACGGGTGTTCCGCACAAAGTCCATGTCCTCGGGACTCGCATCAGGAGATGTCGTTTTCATCTGCCGGCCGTAGAACAATGCACTGAACATGTCAAACGCCAGGCGCGTAGTGAACTCATTCGGCTCATTGGCGTAAGCTGGCAGGTGGGTGGATGCCAAGTTGACGGACTCATTGATGTAGGGAAGGTAGGACCGTGCTGTCTTCGGGCCGATAATGTCTTCCTGCACCGCGAGGCGGTACTTGCGCCAAGGCTCCCCCGTGCCGGACCACTCCAACAGGACCTTCTTGTCGTTCTCCTCCATCCAGCGTTTGGCAATCCAAGTATCGTCGAGGGCCCCCACTGGGTAATTTCCTTCGTTTCGATACATCTGCATGTACACCTCAGGTCTGCAAACGTGAACATTCTCCTCGCCGACAAGTCGCAGCCTGTAGATGTCTCCAAACTCATGGTAGTACTCGTTGTAGGCCTTGTTCATCTGTGGGCCTTTCGGCTGGGTCATGCCATTCACTCTTGACATGAAGTCGGGCAGGGCCCCGACGATCGGCCACGCTTTGGGTCCTGGGATGTCCTGCAAGCTCAGCGCGGCAAAGGAACGGCCGAGGCGCTGGACTCCGGGATTTTTGAATGCCCGCATCATGGCAACAAGGGGCTCAAGGATCCGAAAGACTGGAGCAGGAAGAGGGCTTGAGCCACAGGTAATTCGAAAATTTGTAGGGCTCACGTGCTTGGACTCTGGGAAGCTGCTACTGAACTCGACCGAGTAGCCGAACGTCTCCGTCACATCCTTGCGCAGATGCTGGTTCAGCAGTCCCACCATGTGGTCCAATCGAAGGTTCACGTCCTCGCGGGCCCAAGTGGATCTTCAGACGCGGTCACCCTGGACTCTCGTGTCAAACCTGCTCCAAACTAGGGAGACTCGCATTACAAGCAGCCGGATTCACCTCTCAGCCTTCGTCACCCTTGTCATTTCGAGGCAGAGAAACTCATAGGAGCGCCCCCTGAGCAGATGCACCCGTTGTCGACGTAAGAACATGAGCGTGGATTTGAAACGGTGCAATGCTTGTCGCATCTGATTTGTTTGGCAGGCTTTAGGCTACTGACTAGTCTAGTGAGTCTAGTGCCTTCGAACCAGCCTTTCAACATTGCATTGTCGAAAGTGTCACAAAAGATCTTACGAAGAAAACCTGAATCCACGTCTTGCATTCTGCATCTCGACCTCTGACCCCCAAACACAGCTAGGCTTGTTGCACACCAAACCAATCCACATACAACATGTGCAACTAAGTAACATGACATGGGCAGAATTGGTATGATCATGCTCATGAACATGCAGCCTACGCTGTTGACCTCACTGACATAGGATCTGCAAGTCTCCTCCAAATTCTTCGGCTTCGCTTGGTGCAGGGGCCCGTGCGTGGAAAGAAACGTTCCCAGGGCGAAGATGGCCATTGCCGGCCTCTTCGGGCTGAATATTTTCTGTCTATCACATTTAACTTTTAGAAGTAATAAGCTATGTATGTATATTCATATATACACACACCCCATATTATATGTAACATGTTAAATTACTACACTATATTGTACTAGCTTATCTGGCCTAGTCTGTTATGTTATATTGTATGATATACTGTATTCTTGAATATAATAGGACATTACATTAGGTTACATCATAGTATATTCGGTTAGATTGGATTAAGCTAGATTGTCCTAGTCCTAGATTATACTGCGCTATATGATGTTCGATATGCTCTGGCATGTTATGGCATATGCCATGTGCGCGTCTATTGTGGTATATCGCCTGAGCTGCCCAAAACGCAGCGGTAGAGTTTGACCCTTTAACCTTTTGGGGTTTAGGGTTTAGGGGTTTCGGGTTTAGAAATTTGGGGGTATAGGGTTTAGGGGTTTTGGGTGTAGGGACCTTTCCTCATTTTGCACCGCAGGTGTCAAAAAAACGATAAACAAAAAAAAGGACAATCAGGAGCAGCCCAAGATCTCCAAACTCACCCAGTGAGCGTTAACTTATTGAATAAAGGATTCCTTTTGAAAGAAGCCGGGAATCTAGGAGCATTGCCTATAGAATACCTTATAGAATGCCCTTTCTACCAAGCTTAAACAAGTTCATATACAATACGGTGATACCTTGTAAATATACCCTGTAGACCTATATTTACCCCACCTTCCTATATAAACACCCTGAAGAATACCTTACACAATACCGTGTGGAATACCCTATATAGACTAACCAATCGAATGCGCTATAGAATACTTTATATAATGTCCCCGAATTCAATAGGGCCTATTGAACTCAACGGGGTTTACAGTACAGTGGTCTTTCAAGTACGGCTGAAGCACAGAAATACATGTACATATATATATATGCTATTTCAATCGGGTTACGGTACAGAGTGTTCTTTAAAGTAAGGGGGAGAGGGTCGGGGGCATAGCAGACAGGACTTACACCAAAACTGGTGGATAACTCTGGGGGAAAGGGTGCCGAGGTTAGGTTTGGGACTTTACTAGAGCTCAGAGAAACCCTGAGCCCGATTAAACCCGATTGGAGCGACAATCGAGCCCTGGATTCAAGATTCAAGATTTCTGGACAAGTTTTCGGAGAATCTTGAATCTTGACTCCCGGGCCCGATCGAGATTCCATGGCTTCATTCGGTTTCAATCGAAAAACCCAGGATTCAAGATTTCAGGAAAAGTTTTCTGAGAAGCTTGAATCTTGAATCCAGTGCCCGATTGAATCTCAATCGCTTCAATCGGTGTCAATCGATCGACTGCCTGTACAACAGCCGTCTCAATCCTCCCCATCCAAATACCCGCCAAAAAGGGTGGATCTTTGGGGGGGGGGGGGTATATATATATATATATACACATACATACATACATACATACATACATACATGCATGCATGCATGCATCCATGCATACATACATACATACATCGGGGCTTGAAACTGCAAGAAAGAGCTGCGGTTCCCTGAAGCTTCTAGGCCCCCCGGCCCGCCCAGCCATAGCGGGGCACCACCCGGCGGCAGCGAAGCCGCCGGACCCGACTTCGCTTTGGCAGCATGAAGAAGGGCGTAGGTTCCTGCACGGAGGCTTCAAGTTGAGGTGGGGTATAGGGTTTAGGGTTTAGGGTCTAGGGTGTAGGGTTTAGGGGGCACCTTGAAAAACAAGAGTGCAGAAGGGCTGTCTAGGGGCAAGCTCAAGGAAAGCATTCCGCTGAGCAGTTGTCTGATTGTCTCGTTTGCCCAAGAGCCTCGACATACCCAATCTCCTGAGCCTCAATCGCCACACCCGTCGTGCCTAAGCCCATCGCAAGGATGCCGGCAGGCCCCAGAGGCAGGGATGGGAAAGTGACGCACACCTCCAGACACCCCTGCAACGTTTCGCGCTTCACAGCCGGAGCGAAATCAGACAACTGCGCTATCTGCAAAAAACCCTGCAACGAGAAGCCAAAACCAACCCGACGAACAAGCAAATGCCACATAATCAGGAAGAGCACAAGCTGCCAGTGCGTCAGAAACTGCCCTCGCCGGCCTCCATCGTGTTTTGATTCCTGGCCATCCTCAGAATGGAATTCTGCTTGAGGCCTGATAATTATTCGGAAGACTGATGAGGTCCTTGACCCAGTGCTCTGTCACTCTCGATATTGGAAGCCCCAACCTGTTCTATGTTCCACCGCCCAAGTTTATGCGGCAGCTTTGCACCTATCTTTCATCAGCCCTGTTTGCCAAAGATCGCTATGGCTAAGCCGAGCCTGCCCTAGCCAACCGGACTCAAAATGCGCAGGCATCCCCTGCGGCGCAAGGAAACGGACAAAATGGTGAGAAGGCATCGGAAAGTGAGTGGCTTGTCAATGTCAGCAACCCGGGGCTGTCCGAAGCCTGACTTTCCATGGCCAAGAGTCACGATGTAGTAGACCAGGACCTCGAGGGTCACCACGCTTCACGCCCTAAACCCGAGACCCAAGCTCTTCATACGGCTTGCAGCATCTTCTGCCTCAGGTTTAGGACACACACACATTGCCCTACACCCCCCTGAACTTCTTCGAATGTCTAAGAAAGTTCCTGTCGGGCTTGATCTTCGTACACTTCTCCCTTCCTATCCGGCTCGGGGTGCCGAGAAGCCAGGGATGCCGCCCAGATGTGGCACATGACCTCAAGTAGCAGATGCTTAATGGGTTTAGGGTCTATAGGGCTCAGGGCTTAGGGTTGATAGTGCTTAAGGCTCCTGGTTGAAATACTAGACCATGCCCCAAAACCTAGTCTAACTACTATCGTAGCTATCGTAGCTCCTCTTCGGCGCTCCAGCCGTGCGCATGCACGGACTACCCTGAATACTTACATCTGGAAATGAATCACAAGTCGGTCTAAAGAAGACACAACGTTGCAACCCCGATGTCTACCCACTTTGGCTCCACATGCACGTGGCTATCAACAGCTTTGCGACCAAAGCAAACCTTGTTGCAGGACAGGTGCCCAGGGCCTCAGCCAGTGCTCGGCCCAGCCAAAGGAGGAGTCCGGTTGCAGCCGGCAACAGAGTAACACCTGGGCTGGTGGCTTCTTTGTCACTAGGACACCCTCTTCACGGTGATGACCTGTCTGGTACGAATCATACGGCTTTTCGGTTTCAAAATCAAGACCCTTTATGCCAGAGACTCCCAGCTCAGCTGCAATGCCTCTCCCGGTATGCTGGTTTTAAAGGGCCTTCTAAAAGACTGCTGGCATATGGGCCGGGACACTACCCACAGCGACGGCAGCAAGATCCTTAGACGGGCGCCGTTCCCCTCCCAACTTGACCTTCCCTACTGCGTTTCCCACATGAAGGCATCTGGAGATCCCGCTCCAGCTTCTCATCTGTGCCTGCCCTTGAGCACTGCTCGCAGCTGCTGTCACTGTTGGTTGCCTGCTTTCCAGGCTTGCTCCATGTCTCCATCCTACACTAGCTCATCCAAAATGCCTGAGGTTGGGCCCCAATGCGGAACAACTGCCACGAGCGGCATGCCATCACCGTAATTCCCAGGGATCCCGGATGACCCAAAGCTGCCGACAAGCGTCACTGTACAGGCTGAGAAGCACATCAGAAACCATGACACGGAGCCTATGCTCCACCACAGGTCCAGCACAGTAGGAGTCACTCGGTGGATCGCAACGCCTGATGAGAGCGCAAGACGTGCAGAACGACCCATGCCAAAAAACTTTGGCGGAAAGAGTACCCCATAAGAGAGCTTTCGCACTCTTCGCTAGGCCTGTTGAACCAGCGATGGCCACTCCTACTCTGAAGCGAGCACCCCCCGCAGCCTGCGATCCGAAACTCGAACTCCAGGTACGGGTACATCAGGGCAACCCAAATGCCGGCCACGACCAGCGCGGTCGTCGCCAGCAAGAACGGTACCTAAGCCGTGCTTCGGGTCTTCAATTCGAACACCCCGGTGGCGACATGGTGGCATGTGATGGTGCTCGGATGCCCCGCAACACCGAGTGCATTGATTTCTCTGCCGCCTGGATATGTTCAGCATCGACAGTCGCTCATGCAAATACTGGCTCCTCTTCCTCCTCGTCTGCTCCTTTTTTGCTGGTTTTGCTCATCCTCCTGCTCTACTATCACAGCTTTCATACGACTACTGTGACAGCTACTGCCCTGCTGCTCCTCGCACTACGAGCACTAACTGCGCGCCGCCACTACTACAACAACTTCTCACCACCACCAGCACCACCACCACCACCACCACCACCACGACTACTGCTGCTACTACTACTACTACTACTACTACTACTACTTGTACTTGTTGTTCCTCTCGTTGCGCCACCCCCGTTTCCAAGGTTCGGGGAGATTGAGAGCCACTGCTAACGTTCGACCACGAGACAGGAGGATTCGGATGAAGATCCTCCGGCCCGGAGCCCTCGGACTCTGCATCGTAGTCGTTGTAGCCACCCAAATGCCTTAAGGTCTTGATCGCTGTGGTGGAATTGAACTGGGATTGTTCTGGGGTTGCCTGACAAAGCGCAGCAATAATTAGCGATTAGCGAGCTCCGAAATGTCAAGTTTCTAAGCCCGCCTGCGTTTTGCTCTTGGTGTCTGTAAGGCTTACCTGGTGCAGCGAATACATGTCGTAGCATGTTACTTCTGCAGATTGATGTAGGAGCCAGAAGAGAAGCGACAATAAAAAAAACTGGTTGTTCAACTCCAGAAATAGCCGACCTGTTCTCAAGTTTAAGATTCGGAGCCGGTGACGTCTGTTTGCTCTGGGGCCCCTGCTTCCTCAGGGTTGGGTCCCTCCCCTTGACGCTCTTGCAGGCCTTCAGCAGTCCCTCCTGGGAGAGAGGGCATAGAACTCAGGGGCTGGAGGTTCGAGCTTCAGATCATGCCAGGGGGCTTCGGGCACTCGGAGGTTGGGAGTTTCAGAAAGGAGGGGGCCCTCAAGCTGATGCCAAGCAGGATCCCTGTTCTCAGCATGTTGGGGTCCTAAAGGCCCCCTGTATCTTCTGAAACCCCCCAGCTGGGTTCTAGGAATCGCTCCAAGTAGACCCAAAACCCTGAATCCCTATAGAACCCTTAAGGGAACCCTAAACCCTAAGCCCTCTGTAGCTGAAATCCAAGCGTCGGGCTTTGGAAGGAAGTCTGCTGGCTGCACGGACCAGGCCAAGATGAGGTTTGCCACACAGTAAGACAGGAAGAACCAGTAGCCATTCCTGGGGTTCTTGCTAGGGGAGTTCTTATATAAGTTACCATAAGAAGGAAACCCTATTATTTACTATAGATCCCTACTATGGTAACTTAAATGAAAAGTCCCTCAACAAGGACCCAGATTCGTGAAGTACCCACCATAGCGGATGTTGTCAGGATGCTGGTTCTCGATGGGAAGGCTCGCGATGCCAACGACCAGCATCATTATGGACGGCTGCGTGAAGCGCATGGGTGCCAGCGTCATGACATATGTCCTTGACCGCCAAGACACCATGCATAGGGTTCTATGCGTGGTGCGTCCAATCTCACATGTTAGGATATAGTGGGGAATGACAGAATCTGACAATCGGAGGGTTTCGAGATTGCAAGGTGGTCGCACAGACAGGTGGACAAATGGACAGATGGACATACAGTAAGAGAGAGAAGCAGAGAGGAAGAAAGATCGAATTGACAAACAAGCATTGGCCGATCAGACACTTGAGATAAACAAACGGACATATAATATGAATAGGCAGACAACAGACAGGCATCGAGGTACACCGTCACATATGCTGAACAGATATCTTTGCAACGTAGCTACATTGGTAGTTTGTGTCTGCACAGATCGACGGTTGTGCGGATGCAGCAAGACAGAGAGCGAGAGAGAGAGAGAGAGAGAGAGAGAGAGAGAGAGCGAGAATGAAGCCCGAGAGCAACAGCGGCGTTACATGATAAGATCTAGACATGAGCTAGCATGGTGCTGAATGCTTCGTGCTACTAATGGTAGATCTTGGTACAGGTCTTGGCTTGAAGGCCACTTCGGGCAGGCTATAGATAAAGCTGCGGATAGTTACACCGAAAAAGACTTCGGCGCATCAGGAGGCAGAGGTGCAGGCAAACAAATGAACACACATGTACAAAGATGCATACTAGGGCAGCCAGGCAGCCAAGCAAGCTGTATGCTTGGTTGGAAAAGCTATGGAAAAAGCCACGACGCCACTCAACTGAAAGATCTAGAATCTAATTTAAGAAAGGTTCAAAATCTTTCGGCATTCGCCCCTGAACAAAAACCGGATGTAAAGCCGCCACAGGGCTGCATCGATTGGCGCAAGTCCCCCGGGATGAAATCCGGGTTAAGGAGGATCAGAAAGATCCTGAAAGCTGAAACTGTAGTTTTTGCGGCTTTCGGTGCTTCGGTGTTTTGCGCTGTGGGGTCGCTTTAGGCTTCGGTGGCTTCTTAAGTTCCGGTAGCACTGATAGCGAGCTGAGCTTTTGTCCCGGCTCGCTTTATCCCGGCGGAAGCAATGAAATGAAGACTGATTTGGCTTAGCTCTCGGGCTTCATTCCATGCAAGGCCGCTTGGAACCAAGCACTGAAAAAGATGGGCCCAGAATCATCAAGAACTGCAGTGGAGGCAGCAACATGGCATTGTACGCAGCCACCTTAGAGGGGTTCCATGGGAGCAGAGCTATCGGGCCGACAGGCTCACAGTCTGAGGTTTTGACGTTCAATATCCGAGGTTTGTGTGCCAAGACTTCCTGAACAATGGACGTCGGTTCGGGTCGGAATGCCAGTTCACCTCTCTTTGGCCTGCGAGCCTCGGGAACAATCCACCCGCTCGGGAACTCAAAGCCTTCAGATGCATACTCTCAGGGTTACTGCATGGGCTGCTTTACAGGTACTATCGAGGCTACGATCGGGCGAGCAAGCGCAAGGCGAGCCGCAAACGCTGAGCATGGAAGTTGACGCTGATACAGCCAGCGGATCACGTCAATGTAGGACTCACCTCACGGGCAGGATCCAGTGCCCATGGCTGCACATGCCTGTTTCTGAATTTGTGGGAGCGCCCTAGACTGTGCTTGGGATGTAGGGTCCCAAGGATCAGAATCGGTTTTGAGGGCATGTTCTCATATTACAACGAGGAACCCTCAGGAAAAGTATGGCTTGCTACTCAAACGCCTGTGTTGCAACCCAACACCACCAGACTCCCAAACCTCCTCGGCTCTCGACTGCGGCATCTCTGAGTGTTCGTGCTGTCTTGGCCGCTGTCTGCGGCTATTGCTGCTGCTTCTGGGTTTGTTGAGGAACCGAGAAGAGGATACCATAAAGAGATCTGCAGCTCATTATGTGGTTTCCCCACTATGGTATCTTAAACTAAACTCCTGAACCTAAGTTCCTGCTTAAGACACCCCATTGGTTCTGTCATGGGGGCCAGCCTTGCGAGACTCGGTAGCCGTCGGCATCGTCATGAACCCACGTGACATTCGGCAAGATGCACTCCTTGGCCGAGTTTCGACTTTTGCTCTTTCGCCTGGTACGGAGGAGGCTGGCGGAGCGAAAGTCGCTCAAAAGACAACATGCCCCCCAAAAAACAGCCTGATTATGAAGGCCCTATACTCAACGCGGAAAAGCTCTTTTGTAGCCCGGGTTGGGCTCAGCAGTTGTAGGTTTGAGCGGCTTTCGGTTTCTGGGCTGATCATCCTGACAGGACGCTTTGGGATGCAAGAGTGATGCAAGCTTCCAATGCCGAGCCAGGGCGCAGTGTAGATAAGTGGCACATGTACACCAATAACTTGACAGAGAATGCAAAGCGGGAGGAGGATCCACTGCCACCAGTGGCTGCCGGCACCTGACTCGCTCATTTTAAATTTGCGGACACAAGTCTCGCCACCAGTAACATCAGGGAATTTACATCTCGCAATCGCACAGTTCGGCTTCTGTTCGACCGATATTGACAACAGACAAGATCCACACTATTCGGCGCCCTGCTTCTTCAACCAGGTCCAACTGATTTCTAAGGCAAGCCTTGCTCCAAAATACAAACCTCACTGATCGTTCTCTTGAGCTCCAGTGTTGCACCACTTTGCCTGAAAACCATTAACTTCATCACCCGGGCCGCAAGCTTGGCTGCCCTCGTCGTCCTGCACAGCCGACATTTTAGAAGTGCAGATAACATGCTTCTGCTTGCTCAGTTTGCGGGACCCTCGGGATTCTGTAAGGCTTGCCTTGTCGTCAGCAGCGCCCAGGTCTTTCACCACATTGTAGCTGTAGCAGCCCTCGTGCCCCTCAGCAGTCTTGCGCTGGCTGGCGAAGCAGTGTTGGGAGAGGCCTGGGTATGGCCAAGACACTGTCTGATCGTCCTGGCTTTCAAGACTCCTCCACTCCTGCCAACCAAGGCCAAGATGGACCCTCTCATTTTTGGCGGCTTCATCTCTCTGCATGCCATGTCCCCAGAGTCCTTCCAGTTGCAGGTGTAGAGATAAAACTGCAGCGATGCAAACATCACCAGCATGCCAAACCTCCAGAAAGGCACAGGCAGTGGAAAGTTCCATCCTTTCACGCTTGGCAGGCAAGCGACCGATATGGTCATAAGACGACGAGTGTCTTGTGACAGGTTGTTGCGGCAGAGGCTCGTCGTGCGATAAAGACATGATAGGCCCATCGCCCGAGCGAGCCCCGCACTTCCCTCAAGGCTGATCTGGAATCGATTGTGACATGCTGCCAAGGGCACATGAAGAGCTGGAGCCCAGGAAACTCATAGACCACGAGGATGCCATGCTGGTCCTTGGAGGCAACACTTGCCCTCTTGCTCCCTAGCGCTGTTCCGCCTCCGACCGTCAACCCGAAACTCCATACCGTCGGCCTTCAATACTCCCAATGGCATCGCTTTTCTGTGGCTCTAACATGAATGCACGACACCCTTTACAGCGGCATACAAGCAAACTGCAGTCCTGGTCAACACTTCCAAGACTCCAAGACCCTTTACGTGAAATCTGTCCAACTGTGGTGTACAAGGAGTGCTCCATCGTTACCTTCACGGCAATAGTTACGCAAACCGTAAACAACAACACCAATAACTTCAAATTCTGTAGCCTTCCTGGCTGCGGCTGCATGCGGCTCTATGCAAGACCCCAAACCGTAAGCCATCCCAGATCCAGGTCCGTCCTCCGGGTCCCAGCGCAGGTCCCGGAAAACAGCATGGTTCTGCACCGCTCGCAGGGCCACGGCGAAGCCGTGGAAGAGGGCGCCGAAGGTGGCTAAGTTCATCTCTAGGCGCCAGAGCCTTGGAAAGGTTTCGAAAATCCCGACTCGAACGATGCAGGCGAGGCTCCTAAGGGTTTAGGGGTTCATTAAAGGATTCCCGAGCCTTGCAACAACCTCTCTGGCGTTGGGTTCTCCGCAGGCAAAACCGCACATGAGAAGCGAGGATGGTCGTTTCTTGACGACCTGTGCCCATTTCAAGCTCTTTGCAGGCTGGGTTAGCCTGGTCTCTGGCACGGCTCTCTGCCATATTGCACGTTGCACGTATGGGACTTCACTAAGAATTAAGCAAGCGCCGCCCAAGACCCTCAACCCCCAATAGACAAGGTCAGCCCGGGAACTCAAAAACCTTCCACGAGAGCACCGTCTTCACCTTTTCTCTCTCGTCCCCGAGCTGGGCCGCACCCCAGTCTCAAGTTCTGGTTGGTTGTACCCGCCTGGCCGGTTTGACCCGGCAGTGGTTTCGGGGGGGCGGGGGGGCGGTCTGGTACCCGTCAGGAACGGTTTGACGCCGGCACGGGACTTCGTCGTACACGCCGGAGTGGCGAACTACCAAGGCTCGTTGAGGGTTACTTGGGTGCTGATGCGTTTACGTGGATTCACCTCGCGAGAACTGGGCATTATCCAACAGTCCCAGCCCAGCCGAGGAAGTAGCGCAACTGCTCATCACGATAAATCCGAAACGGACTTCTTGGTGACACATGATGACACGCGCGAGTCCTTCGCCCGGAGAGTGCCCAAGAAAGGCCAGATCTGTGGTCTCTTCGCTGCTCACTGGCCTTTCTGATGACCACTGACGCGTGGCCAGTCAAGACTCGGACTGGGCCATTCCGGCCTTGAGCGTGGATAGCAGGGCTCGTTTCGACCCTCGGGCTACCCAAGTCTACCCAAGCGACACTTATATTACTGTATACCATTGTGATAGCTTGAGCCTTGCACCAAAAGGCTATGGCATAATTTTGTTGTCTCAGGTGAAAGCCAGCTTTGGGAGGTTGGCTCGAGAAACGAAGCGCTGACACAGACCGAAGTCTCATACCCGGATATTCAAAACAGTTGAAAAAGTACCGCCGGCCACCTAGCAACATGACATGTCGTCCTAGTCGGCGACAGAATTCACGTTGCTCAAGGCTCTAAAACCCGCCAAGAAGCCAGTTCCAGGTGCAGAGCACAGAGATTACCAGGAGGAGAACCCCGCTCACGACCCAAGTCATGTCGTTCGTCGCGGAGCCTTCACGTGCAGAGCTTCGGAAAATGCCTTCGCTGCGTATTGTCGGCATATTGCTGCTTCCTGAATTCCAAGTTTATCTGATGCAAGAAAGCCTCGTGAAGCTAAGAACGCATTCCGAAGCCTTACTTCAATCCCGAAATGAACCCCGATCCGAAAACCCCAGAAACCCGGAACTGCCCTTCACATGCGGGGCATGTCTGGGCCTGTGGCAAAGAGAATGCAAGACATGGAGGTCGCCAGGCCATACCTGGAGCTTCAAGGAAGCCGCGCCCGGCTCAATTCCCAAACGCATGCAGTCGTGATGACCATAACAAACCCACACACACACACTTAGAAAAGTG